CAGCTCAGGCTGAGCAGGCCGAGTGGGTGAACTGGGTTTGGTGCTGGGTGGTTGCTGGGAGGTGTCTCAGATGAAAAGCTGGGCTGGGGTGGGCCTGCTGTGTCAGCCCTTGTCCCAGCTGGTGGTGAGAGCAGGGTGGAGGCTGATGGGTGCTGCCCACTGTCACTGCTGCTCTTACCATGTGGCACAGCAGTGCTCTGGTGTGTGAGCTGGGAGGGAGAAGGACAGCCATTGTGCCTGGCTAAGGCAGAGCTGAGGTCTGTTGAACACGTGGATCGTACCAGTGCAGCTATTGCGGCTGCAGTAGGGGTGGAAGACAAAGGGAGTTTTCTTCGTGACAGCAACACCAGCCACTTGGTTCAAGGTGTATAAATGTTGAGGAGATGGAGAACACTTGCTGTCAGAAATCATGGCAGCTGTACAGAATCTAGAGGTATTTTGGGGATGGTTCTTGTAACCAGTTGATTTTAAGACACTGTCCTACTCAAGAGTCTAAAGTGCATGATAGAAGAAAGCTGGAAAAATGCTTCTCCTTACTCTTTATCACTTGCAGATTCTTTCTTTAGGGATTCTTTCCAAAAGGAGATTTTGGGGATTGAGGCAGTTGAAGAAAGAGTGAAGCCAGGGGGCAGTCCCTGTGGAGAGGACCCCAGGAACTGAGCTTCCCCACCACTGTCTCAATGAGAAGACAGACGCAGTTCCCATTCCTGCTCTGCATATGGAAAAGTATGGCTGGATTTATTTGTTTGGGTTTTCTTCCTTTCTCTCATTTTGAAGGGGAAAAGCTGGAGCAGGGGGAGCACTACTGGTCCTTTGTTACCTCCATAACCAGTTGGATTCTGCATGTGCTGCAACAGGACAGCATTGCCAGGCTCCTTAAGCTGCTGGGGCAGGGTGGGAGCAAAGAGCGTGAACTGCCCTCCTGCCAGCTGCACCTAGTTATGGTTTGCCGGGTCCCTGCTGCCCTGAATTTCACCTGAAAGGTTTGTTCTAGCTGCTTGCAGTAGTAAAATTTAGGGAAGAAATGGAAGTCAAGAGCTAAGGCTCTGCACAATAACTTTGCGTGGATTGAACTATGGCACCTGAAGACTGTTTCCTGAATAATGCTGGCATTTTGCAGGTGTGTTGGTTTAACCCACTGAACTGATGTCTGTGAGCGCCCGTCTTCTCCACCTGAACAGTAAGAAAGCTGGGATATGCCCAGAAATTGCAGCAGTTGCTGTGAATACTCTCCCAAATGTTTGTTTCCTTTAGTGGTAGCTAATGACTCAGCACTGTGATATCCTGTCTCTGGCACGATCTGGAACGCTGCATCTCTTTGCAAATGTTGGGTGCCCATTTCCATGGACCCTCCTTTCTTTCTCTCCTCAGAAGCAGCACAGTGCGGTTCCCTGCGTTAGGGAGCAGCAGCCAGCAGGCTGCCAGAATGCCAGCTGGGCCTTGCAGCGTGCAAAGGGACATGTTGGGGATGGACCATCCTTAGCACCACGCAAAAGTGAGTCTCTTCAGTCCTCTGTCATGAAGTATGGAAGAATGCATTTTAAGTATTACTTCTGAGCGGGTGCAGGACTGTAGGGATGTCAGGTAACCATGGTGGAAGCATTGGGGAGGCCGACAGCGGCAGCTGATGGCAGCAGTGTGACAGAAGGCCGTGGTGGTGCTCAGAGCTGAGTGCATTCCTGAGAAAGGCACTCTTGACTTTATGGCATTTTCTTTCACCTAGTGATATGTAGAAAGTTAGTGAAGAAAGGAACAACAAGAACAAAAATACCCTACTTCAAGGGCAACTGCATTTGGATATTTACAGCATGCTAGAGTGTTATGTGAGAACCAAGAACTCTGTGACCTGTAGGATGCAGTGTCTTCTGAGATATTATTGGAGGACTTTGTGGATGGAGACATGTTTAGCTCACTCTGCATCATCTGCACTGCCTAAGGAAGTTACAGTGCAGTAAGAAAACCATGCTCTCTGAAAGCACAGTTTCCCATTGAGAAGAATTATTTGGCTGACCACCTTGGGGTCAAACTATAAAGCGGATTACAGGGCAAGTACAAGGGGCGAGACAAAAACGCCTAAGGCATGGTTTATTACTTCTCAAAGTAGAAATTAAGAAAGGGTTAGCTGAACTTCTCCCTAGAAATGCCTGTTAGTTTTGCTGGAATCCTTAGTGACTAATTCAGACAGACATCTGTGCTGCAAATGTCTGTAACTGTATGGATAAAGTTTATGATCTGCACGTCCTGTAAAGCTATAGCTACATTGTCTTTGATTTTTACTTAACAGATTGCAATTTCTTACCCATGCTATATGAATTGCAAAGCTTGCCTACAAGCTGGATCATCCAGCAGCTTTCACACTCTCCCTTTGTGGAAATGTAATCAACTCATTCAATGGTGGGATCATGAATGAGTCCAACGAGAAGGCAGCATCAACAGTGAAAGTTTGACTATAAACTGAAATAATGAATTACCATGGTTGAAGCTGAACCAGTAGTCCAGTAATAGCTCTATGAAGTCTCAACACCTACCAGATACTTTCTAATGAATTTAAAAGATTCTTAATGATAACTTCATAGTGCATGAGTTGGTTCCTTTACACAGGTTGGTTCTTCCTTAACTTATTCCATACAGGTTTTAGTATCGCTCTAGGGATTTTTTTGATAGAAAAGGACTTCTTGAAGGTTATCATTATGTATGCTTTTACATAATGTACAGTGTGGATTTGTTCCTAAGAAAATTGCATGAACAAAAAGAGGAACAAATAAACTTTCATTTATTTCTTTCAATTTTTTTTTTTTTAAATATGTATTTGCTGACCAACTTCCACACGGAGCTTTTGATCTCCTTGTTACAGCATGTAGATCATGGGATTAGTCAAGGGAAGACAACCGTATGGAAAAGAAAGTTTTCCCAATGGAAACCTTTTCCATTGGGACAGCCTCAAAGGGTAGGACATATATGTAGACAGCTGAGCCAAGCATGACAAAAACTACGATGATGTGGGAAATGCAGGTGGAGGTTATTTTGTTCTTTGTTTTGGTGTGTCTGGAGCTTCAGCAAGAGGATTATGTAGGAGATGAGGAGAAGTGAAAAGCACATGACAATGACAACTCCATTGTTGAGGAACATCAGAAGTTCCGCCATGTAAGGTTAGCACAGGCCAAGTTCGCCAATTGACGCACATCACAGACAAAGTCGTCCAGGACGTTGGGGCCACAGAAGGGGAGCTTGATGGTGAGAGCAAATAGAATGATGCCATGAATGAAGACACTGCCCCACGAAGCTCCAACCAGGGCACAGCATACAGTCCTGTTCACAAGCATGGTGTAGTGGAGAGGTTTGCAAATAGCAACATAACGGTCATAGGCTATGGCCAAGAGCAGGAAAGCTGCTGCTGCTCCCAGGAAGTGAAGAAACAAAGGCTGGGTCAATCAGGCCTTGTAGGAGTTGATCTTAGGATTTGAGAAAAAGTCAGCCAGCATTTTGGGTGGGGTCACAGGACAGTAGCAGATATCCAAGAATGCCAGATTAGCCGGGAAAAAATGCATGGGTGATCCCAGCTGGGAATCCCCCTGAATTGTGAGAATGATAAGGATGTTGCTTGGGAGAATTATGATGTAGAACAGGAGGAAGAAGAAGAAGGGAATTGACTGGACTTTGTGGGATTGAGACAATCCTAGCAGAATAAACTCTCTAACTACAGTTTTCATGCTCCATTTTGACTCTTGCAAGCCCTGAAAAACAGACAGCAATAAACACACAATGCCAATATGCTGCAATATTTAAGCAACTTGGGCTACGCTTAGGCTACTGAAAATGCACATCCTGTGACCGTTACCTGGTTTTATGGATCTCTTCATAGTGAAATTCTTGAAAACTAGTCACTTAGATTCCCACTAACTTGAGAACTATACTGGTTTTTTTAACAGAAAGTAAACATGTCATCAGATGTTCTCCCTGGCAACTGGCACCTGGATTAAATTTAAGTTGTAAAGCATCAGTCCAGTCTCCTGTAGTTAATCTTTGTGGTTTATAGTGTAACTATCTTGTTCTGAAATAGTGAAACATACAGCCTCTCCAAATGAGCAAAGTAGACCCTTCCAAGGTACAGTACATTTCGTTCTAATGTAGACAGCCAAACAAAGCTAGATGAATTGCAGTCTAAAGTTACTCAAACCTAAAATTGCATCCACTGATTATAAAAGGAAACTAATTACAGACCACTCACATCTGAAGGAAGATTGCAGTTGAACAATTTTAAATCCTTGTAGTTAGTGATGTCAGTATAGACATCCCAAGGAATGGCTAATTTCATCCCAAATTTTCTCTGGAATGCATCAGTTGAAGTATGTTCTGAAATAACCTGTTTTCTCCAGTTGTCTTTCGAGGGAGATAAACATGCCTAGATTACATGCAGACTTCCACTTTTCCCCAAAGAAATCCCATAGCAGTGTCTAATTTTCCAAAGAAGTCATCAGAACACTGGAAACAGGAAAAAAAATCAATTATTACATATCTCAACAACCAAGAATCAACAATATGACAGCCATAGAAAACAAATTAGTATTTCTCATGGAGCACATCAAATAATTTCATTTTCATACATTTTGAATTAAACTGGATTTTGATTCATCACCATTTTTAGAAAGTAAAATTTATTTTAAAAGTCCTTCCATTGATCTAAATCCTTTCATTCGTCCCAATTCTTTTTCTTCTTTTGAGGCAGGAGAAAGGAACATGAGTTTTTACTTTCTTTACTTCAACATCTTTTTTCCTTTTTGCTGCAAATATGTTAAGTTTGTATGAATGACTATGTCTGCTTGTTAATGCATTAGGATTCTGGGCAGCAATGTTGAACGTACTGAAAATGCTAAGATAGATATTCAGGAGTAGATATTCAGACCTTTAAAAGTCTTTAATGTAAAAAAGGTTTAGTTTACTTCCCTTACTAGTAAGAGATGAAGTTGGTCTTGACAGTGGAAATTAAAATTTTCACATTGTGCCTTGAAATACACAAAAAATCTTCATATTCTTTATTTAATCATTGAATAATTAAGGATGAGAAAGACTGCTAAGATCGCCTAGTCCAACCGTCAACCTATCACATCCATGGCCTCCATCTCCCCACATTACTTCATTTCTTACATGGACAGTTGAAGGGCTCATTGTACTTCAAGTGTATATAAATTAGTCCTTGTTGTCCAATATCTAATTTCTCTAATTTCCTTGCAGTACTTAAGAGGAGACTGTAAACAGGAGGGCGACCAATTTTCTTCACATAATAAAAGAATCACAGGTTTGTAGAGGTTGGAAGCGGCCTCTGGTTGGTCTAATCTTGCCTCTTACTAAAACAGGTACCCTATAGCTCTTTGCACAGGAAAGCAACTGGATGGGTTTGAATATCTCCAGAGGAGGAGGCTCCACCCCATCTCTGGGCAGCCTGTTCCAGTGTCATTCTCACAGTAAGGAAGGTATGGAAATTCCCATGTTCCAGTTTGTGCACATTACCTCTTGTCCTGTCACTGTATGTCACAGAAAAGAGCCCAATTCCATCTGACTCCTGCACTTTAGATATCTACAAACAGTGCTGAGATGTCCTCTCAGCCCTCTCTTCCCCAGACCGAACAGCCCCAGGGCTCTCAGCCTTGCCTCAAACAGGAGATGCTCCAGGCCCTTCGTCATCTTTGTGGCCCTCTGCTGCAGTCTTTCTAGGAGATCTTTGTCTTTTTTGAGCTGGGGAGTGCAGAACTGAACACAGTGCTCCAGATGTGGTTTCACTGGGGCAGAGCAGAGGGGGAGGATTATCTCCCTCAAACTGCTCTGTGCAATGCACCCCAGGATACCGTTGGCCTTGGCCACCAGGGCACACTGCTGCTCATGGCCAACCTGTGGCCACCAGGACACTCAGGTTTTCTCTGCAGAGCTCCTCTCCAACAGGTCAGTCCCCACGATATAATGATGAACGCAGTTTTTTCTCCCTGTGTGTAGGACTCCACTTGCTCATGGTGAAGCTCATCAGTTTGGATGGGGCCCTGGGCAGCCCTGGGCTGGATGCCAACCAGCCTTGAACACTGGGGTTGGAACTGGATGTTCCTTACAATTCCTTCCAACCCACGCCATTCTCTGGTCCTATGCTTCTATAATTCTCACTTGCCTGCAGATGCATGTCCATGGGCATCTGGAATGAAGTTTCTCTTTGCCTCACTTTCACTTCCCTCTCAGTGATTCGATCAGCTTCAGAGCTAACCTAGTACCCCATCCCATCCCGTGACGGGAAGATTCCTACAGGAATCTACCTCTGCACACTGCTATACCTGACCCTACACATGCAGTGAATGCAGTAATAATGCTCTCCCCTCACTTCTGCTTGGCTATAGAGACTTCTGTGGTTGCACTCGGCTTCCATGACTTCACATCTCTACCATCTGGGTTGCTCAGCCTGAACCACTACAGAAGGAATTGTGCTATTTCCTCTTTGCTCTGTCCTGTAACACCACATCAGAAAGGTGGTAAATATTTTCCAATTTTTCTCATACTTCCCAGGTGCTATTAATCTACTTGTGTCAAGATCCTCTCCTCAGTTCAGCTGCAGATTGTGGTTCGCATGGTCTCCTTTCCAGTTACTCTGAACTCAAGTCAGTTTCATCTTCTGACTTCACCCTATTTCCCCTGCTGCATTTTTGTCTTCTCTACTGGAAATAAATTTACCAGGAAATCCACGTTATGCACTTCCTTTTTCTATTTTCAGATCCTTAAATTATCCACTACAAAACAGATGGTTTAGCAGGAGAATAACAACATATGAGTGTGATGAATCAAAGCTGTCTCTCTAGAGTTAGTTTGGAGAGCTTGGGTTTTTTTTGTTTGTTAATTTTTTAATTATTTTTTGTTTGGGTGTTGTTTTGCCTTTTTTTCTTTCTGTTTTTTTGTTTGTTTGTTTGTTTGTTTGTTTGTTTTTGGTGTGTGTGTTGGGGGGTGGCATGTATCATATAATTTATAATGCTAGCCAACTTAGTAAAGATGTCTGAGATACCCTGGGCCATCCCAGTGACACTGCAATATTTAACTAGTTAACACTTCTCTAGCTCAGACCTTCAACTGTATCTTTGTCTTTCAGCAGATGCAATGCACCTATAATCTCTGAATCTGTTCCCTGGTTCTGAATGGCATTCCTGACCCTACATGACTATGTAACTACTACAAAAACAAATTTCATCTGCCAATAGGAGATGACTAAACCTCTGCTGCATATGTTAACAACTACCTCAGAGGGCAACAGACCACTATTCAGGGCAATACCAAAGCATACCTGTGGATGTGAGGTAGGATTCTGAGCTTTTAACCCTGTAACCTGTACAATTTGATCATGGGCATCAAAGAACATGCTTTGATCAAAGAAAAGTCATTGTCTCATTAATGTTCTGGCAGTCTAACCAGAATTCAGCTATCACTCCTCACTTGTCGAAGCTCAGTAATACTAACACTCACCTATCTTCTGTTTGAGATCATTACACATAAACTCAGTAGAAATAAGTACGTGTTCCTTTTCCTGGTTACCACCCTTCTTGTCATTCACTCTTCAGTCAAGGTTTCTCCTCCTGAGGTAAAATGTGCCCTCCACACCTGATGTCCTGTGAAGGGAAAAGAACAACATAGCCTGAGGTGCTTTTCTTCTTCATTCATTCTGAGTTCACTCAGGTTTATTCTCACTGGCATCAGTGCTCCCTGACTCACGTACGAATGACAGACAGCTGAGACCTGAACCCCTCTAATCCTCGCAACTCTTATCGACCTCCTCAGTGCTTCCCCAGTACCAACAGCTCTCCAGCTGCCAAACTCCCAGCTTCACACCCTAACTACTTCTGAAGCCAACCCCAGCTTTAATATCCTACAAACATATGCCATCAGCTTCAATATATACCTCCCTTTCAGGAGCTTTGCTGGTAGTCCATCATCCTGGTCTGAAGTCTTCTCTCTCCTCCTCTCCCACACACTCATGTATTTAGTAGTGCTGTGCATGGACCAGAGGTTAAACTCTGTTAGGTTCTGGACCCACTCATGGCCATCTGTCTCCCGTCTGCAAGTCAGCACAGAGTACCTAGGGCCTGGGCTGTCTCACTCATCACCTGCTGACAGGGAGGAAAAATTGTGCAGCAGAGGATGGAGATTTGGTTTCATTGTACTCTTCTTTGTCTCTTTAAGGGACAGCTGGGACTGCAGGTGTTTGGTTCCAAAGGTGATGGCCGTATAATTAACACAGCAGTGTGAACTATGATGCCCATGGGTCTTATTAACAGTCATAAGGTGTTTGTTTACAATTATTCATTAGTATATATTAATTATTTATTTTATCTTAAATTATTCCTGTACCAGTTGTTGCATTAATAAGCAAAAATATTTGTTAGAAAATAAATCCCCATGCATTCCAGCCTGTCTCTCCCACCCAGGGGGGTGGTGGAGTCACCGTCCCTGGAGGAGTCCCAGAAGCGTGGAGATGTGACATGGAGGGACATTGTCAGTGGGCAGAATTGGTGGTAGCTGGACGGTTGGACTTGTGGAGTACTTAAATTCTTTTCCAACCTTAATGATGCTATGGTTCTATGATTCTAACTGGTGTAATGTTCTTTCTAATCACTCTCAGTGGTCGCCCCTTGGAGTTGGGCTGCCATTGGGATGGAGGTGTGTTTTGGCATTTATCCTGATTATAATAAGAAAGATTTTCCCACAGAAATCTCAGTAAGTCACTTCCTGTACTTACTCCACACCAGGTGCAATGCAGAAGTCCCCCTACAGCCAATAATTTATGCTTCTGGTATGCAAATGAGCTCCCAAACTCTGACTTTGAGGGGATGCAATTACACACCTTTTTCTTCAGGAGGTTCCATGGTTGTTGTCCTCACAGCGATGCCTCTGAATCAATATGTGGCTCTCCATATATCTTTGCAGTACCCAAGCATCTTGAATCACAGAAATTACAGCTTCAGCTGGTTGCAGGAGTGTGGGTAGGGGCATTGTTCATTCTAATGTGCAGGTAACACTGTCATTCATTTGTCATCCTGTGGACCAAACTTCCCAGACAATTTTTACTGTGATGTCACATGGGTGATCAAACTGGCCAGTATGGATATTCATGCAGCTGAATTGTTCGTGGAGTCCAAGAATGGTCTGCTTACAGTCCTCATCTCATTGCCCTGATTGTGTTGTAAGCTGTCACCTTGATCAAAATCAAGGCACGTATCATAGAGGGGATGCACAAAACCTTTTCCACATATGAAGCCCAGGTTGCAGAGGTGAGCATCCGTTTTGCACCTGGCATCTTTCTCTGCACACAGCTGTTCAAAAAGCTTGTGGTAGACAAAGCCATGTTGTCTCTGAACAGCCACCCCCAGTGCCAAATCCCATCGTCTACACAGTGAGGAACACAGAGATGAAGAATTCCAAAAGAGATTTCTCAGTAACATCTTTTTCAAAATGAGCAATTGAAAGCTGTCACTCCTCTGTTAGATAGCTGTTCTCTGTTACAGAGATATGTAAAAACAAAACTAACTGTCAACTTAATAATTGACTCTAGGGAAAAAAAAAAAATGAAATTGGAAACAACATGGAGCTGAGATAACAATGCTGCCTCAGAGTAATAACAGCTTTAGAAACAAAACAGCTGCTGACCAAACAATGAACCTGCATTTAAAAGAAAACTGACAGTAACAAAACCAATAAAAGCATCCCGTGTTCATTTTAGTAGTTCACTTTACTAAGGTTTCTAATTAGAAACTCTGAGTTTCTAATTTTCAGTAATTCTAGAGAATTTATGTATGGATGTTTCAGTTTTGTTTGTGGGTTTGGTTGTTTTTATTTTAGTTTATGCAAATATATTCCAACAAAGAGGTGATAAAGGTTTGGTGGAGAATTATTAAGGTATCAGGATATTGCGTTAAGCATCTGGAGACCTAGGCAGCCTATATGTCGGGGTTAAACTGACAGGCAGCTCAGCACCACACTACCTGTGCATTCCTGCCCTGCCACAGTAGGATGGAGGAGGGAGTTGGGAAAGAAAAGTAAAACTTGTGGGTAGAGATAAAGAGAGTGTATTAGGAAAATAAAAATGGGGAGAAAAAAAGAGTACACAAAACAAGTGACACACAAGGCAATCTCTCAGTACCAGCAGACAGAAGCCCAGCCAGTCCCTAAGAACTGCACTCCCCCTGGCTAACTTCCCCCAGTTTCATTGTTCAGCAAGACATCTCCTAGCGCAGAATTTCCTTCAGTTTAGCTATCTGTCCTGGTTCTGCCCCTTTCCATGTTCCCGAGCACTCTCAGTCTTCTCTCCAGCAGAGCAGTCTGAGAAGCCAAAATGTTGATTTTTGGTTCCCTTGTCATATATCAGCCCTGATTTTCACCATGTGAAGGTTAAGTTTCCTAGTAGCCCAAGTAGACTGGTAAAACCCGTCTTTGGTCTCCTGGGAAACTTTGTATTTTTCAGAGGTGTCACTAGAAGGAATGGCTTCAGCAAAATTTTTCTCAAGAAAGGAACTCTTGAGACCCAAGCACATATGTGCAGAACCTTCTCTTAAGTTTAATAATGGGATGTGGGCGATGTTTTCCAAAGCACTGCCTGGCACCAAAGTGAACAGTGAACAAACCAACTATAAACACCTCTAAGAGGGAAGCAGATGACCACAGCGCAGACTTAATAGCAAGTGTTAGTAAATGTTAGTAAAACTGTTAAAGAAATGTTCACAAAAGAAAGTAAATGCTTTCAGCATCTACAGGAATTTACTACAAGAAGGTTTCCACTTACTAATCCAAAGAGTCTTTGCTAATTACGGGTATTAAATGCAGTCAGCTTCACTTTTCTTTTTCTTTGTTTGTTAGCTTTGTTTTGTTGGTTGTTGTTGAAAACTTTTTTAGCTCTCCTGGTTCTCTGAATTGAAATATAAATAATAATGATTTCCAGAGAGAAAGAAATGACAGAGAAACATTCACGCGGAATTTACATCATGGAGTCATGGTACTTTAGATCTGAAAGAAAGGCTGAGAGATGCAAAATACTAATTATTCTGTCTCAGGTCCCAAGATACCTTCCTGGTGACTGTGCTATATGAAATGCTTAAGTCTTTCTGGAAGCAAGGAATGAGCATCAGTTCCTCTGCCTTGTTAGAGCACTTCTGGTATGAGGAAAGGCTGAGGGAGCTGAGCTTGTTCAGCCTGGAGAAAAGAAGGCTGTGGGGAGGCTGGATTCTTTCAGTACATACAGAGAGCTTACAAACAAGATAAGGACCAAGTTTTCACACAGTAAAATAACATTTCTTAAGTGAGAGTGTCAGCTGAATCTCCTGCAATGAAAGCAAGACCTTCAGACCCAAGTGCCCAAATAAGCTGTGGCATTGAGGTGATTTTGACTGGCATTGAGGTGATTTTGACTGGTTTGATCTAAAGGAAATGTCTAGTATACATTTCTTCCTCACAAGGAAGAATGAGAAACTAAAATTTTAAATGACTTACTACTGAAGGCAAGAATAAAGACAAAACATTCACATCTATAAAACACCTGTTTTTTTTAGTGAGCTAGCAACCTTACACAATGACCTATGCCAGAAATAGCATTTTAAAGCTCCACATTCATGTACAATAAAAGATTTATTTCTTCCTCGGGTCAGCTATAGTTTTAATTAGTACTCCTTTCACTTCTTTATTCCTCAGGCTGTAAATCAGGGGATTTAGTGCTGGAATTATAGCTGTGTATATGAGAGAAAAAAATGTCTTAATGTCTTGAGAGTAATTGACTTTGGGCCGTAAGTAAATCAAGCTCCCACTGCCATAATAAAGAGTTACAACAATAAGATGTGAAGAACAGGTGGAGAAGGTCTTGCGCCTGCCCTCTGCAGAAGAAATCTTCAGGATGTTGGAGATGATGCAGGCATAAGATACCAGAATGAGACAAAATGGTGCAAAGATGACCAGCACTGTGGTGGTAAGTGTCTGCTTTTCATACAAGGAGGTGTCAGTGCAGGAGAGCATAATGAGTGGAGGAATGTCACAGAAGAAGTAGTTAATCTTGTTGGGTCCACAGAACCGCAAGGTGAACACCCAAGCTGTCTGCACCACGGATACCACATTACCACTGCAGCATGACAGCAGGACTAGGGAAAGCCTGGCTTTGTTGTTCATGATGATGGCATATCTAAGGGGGTTGCATATGGCCACATAGCGGTCATAGGCCATAGCTGCCAAAATGTAGCATTCGGTGGCCCCCAAGAAAATGACAAAGTAGAGCTGTGTGGCACAGCCCACGTAGGAAATTCTCCTGCCCTCTGACAGGAAGCTTACCAACATCTTGGGAACGACAGTGGATGCTATGGAAATATCCAGGAAGGACAGGACCCGGAGGAAGAAGTACATGGGCATGTGGAGGGTAGGATGCGCTGTGACCAGGAAGATGAGAAGGTTCCCAGCGAGGGTGAAGGTATGAATCAAACTGAATGAGAAGAACAGACAGTTCTGCTGCTCTGGGTGGCTGGACAATCCAGAGAGGACAAATTCTGTCAGAAGAGTATGGTTTTCTAGTTCTGGTCCTTCTGCTGTCTTCATGTGGGAGGAATCAACTGGATGGAGCACCGGAGGGCCGGTCAGACCAGAGTGCTTCAGTGCAGCTGGCAACCAAAACATCTACAGTCCAAAGAAAGCAAGAGAATTTTACTACACTGGGGAGAAGTTCAAAAATGCCTGCTTGCACTCTGCAATGATCTAATTTTCCCTGCTGAGAGGATTGGTAGTATGAACAGTCTTCTTCTAAGATATTTTTTTATTGGTTTTGAAAAACTCATATGCAAAAGTGAAGGAATCCCAAACTCTAGGATGCTTTGGCTCATATTCACAGCCTTCCCCAACTGCCAGTGGGACGCAAAGACTTCAAGACACCAAACTGCAGGGAATGCACACCCAAATAGAACAAAATTAATACACAACTAAGCAAAGCCTGGTAACCTCTATGTACTGTCTATTGTAGGATAATTAGGAGAAAATATAAAGAGAGCACACTAGTAAAGTGTAAAGGATGAAGCTCAGTTGTCTGCTTAATCAGTCACACTGGCTCATTACCTTGAATGAGTGCCTCCGTATGTGCAATGCAGATGGATTATTCATGCAGCACTGTGGCACTTATGGTAAGTCGATGTTTTCTTACTGCCCTCAATGGGAAATGGATGCACAAAAGATAGAAGAAATCTACCACAGAGGAGAAAATGGTCATTAATTCTGTGTTCTCCAGGCTCAAACTCTGTTACCTACAGGGAGAACACTCCACCAGAATGCAGTAGTGAATCTCAAGGCACAAAATGTTCTTTGGTAGTAGAAAGGTATCCTTGTATCATGGAAATGTGGTAGTATAGTACAATTTTCTCATACACACAGGGATCCAGTACAACAAACCACAGCACATACAGGACAAATCATCAAAGCAAGAACAATGCACACAACTCTATTATGAGCTTATCATTTGTTCTACTTACTTAATCCCAGGCTCTCACATTCAATACCTTTTCTCGCAGTATTCTGAACACTCTTGGGAAAGGACTTCAGGATATGTCCATTTCTTTTCTCCTTGACGTGAAAACAAAAAAAAAAAAAGAAAAAAGAAAAAACAAAACAAAACAAGTGATTGCACAGTGCAAAAGCTTAGAGTTGCTTGTTAATTGTTTCCACTTACCTGAGCTCTCTTTTGCAGAGATGTTGCAGTCAGTTCCATTATTAGACTCCTCTTGAATGCACTGTGGGATTTTTCTGTTCTCATGTCAGAAATTTCCGCTAGAGAGACAGTAGCACACCTGGTGATGTGGTGAATCAGACCACAGATATTCCAGGTTTTTTCACTGAGATGCAGTCAGTTAATCAGTAGGGCTTCAGCTTCTCTACTCTGTTGGCTTCTATAACTTAACACCAATTTTTAGCCACCGGGTTTTCTGACATGAACAGGGAAGCAAGTAAGTGAGAGATGGAGCCATCGATGATTTTAGGCTTCAAAAGAAGAAACAAAAGCAAAAACAAAAAAATCTGGCATCTTCAGGATAGTAAATAACCTTCAAATTCAAAAAGAACTCTTGTCTAACCATACACTGAAAACTCCTATTTCCACACCCAGCTATGATGGATCTTCTGATCACTTTTCTTATTATCATTAAGATGGAGAAGGATATTACAAAAACACAGTGAATGGAAAACATCATTGTATACCATTCATATCAATCAGTTGAGCCTTGTTCCTTGATCTCATGTAAAGACACAGGAGGCAATATTTCAGCCTCTCCGTATGGATAAAACTATGTGCCACTGAAGCACTGCTTTAAACAGACTTCCAGATTTGGAGCTCCTGCTATTACGTAGATATGTTAAAAGCAAATAAAGAAACAACAACAACCAAAAAAAACACTACCTGATAAGTTTTGAAGATATCTGCTTTCAGCTTAAGAATAATGATCTTTGATTTCCAGAGACAGTCAGTGCCTCACAGATACCTGAAACTTCTGTAAGAAAATCAGATCAATTCTTGTGATAAAGCAGTTGATGGGCACTTCTATAAAGTCTATAAAGTGCAAGCGAAAGATCTTGATTTATTTTCCCTGGAAATAAGATGAATCTCATGCTCCTTGGGGCCCATCAGATGGAGACATGGATCAACGGTGTTCTAGTGATATGGGACTTCTCTGGTAATAAACGTTCTTTTCATCAGAAAGTAGATGTGACACAAATAGAAGGCAAAAACCCGCATTTCTTTTTTTCTTCTAAGCTCCAGAAGTAAACAAGAGCTGGAAGTTAACCTGCTTTGGCTCTTATTTCCTGTTCTTTGCTCTTCAGATCGTCTGTGGCAACCCAAATCCCAGAACTGCTTTTGTTCTGACTATAGGAACCTTAATGATTTGTTACCTCCAGTCCCATTCCTCTGGGTTTTTACATGAGACTGATCAGTTTGCTGGGGCAGTCCTAAAATACACATCTGTGTTTGACCAGGAGATCTAAAATATTTTTTTTCAGTGAGGAGATTAACAGACTCCTGTGTATGATTTTATTTATCTTCAATAAGATTTAAGGAAAGTCCAGGAAAGTCCAATCGTTTTTACTCCTTAGAGCCACTTGACTTGTTTTTCAGCAACACTGGCAGAGCGTTCAGAGTTTTTTATAGGACTAGTCTGCCTGCACACAGAAGTCTGGATGGGATTCTGAAGTTTAATTCAAGTTTGCCCTGATCTGAAAAGAAAGTCTGTCCTTGCTTGCAAACGTATCTGCTAGGGTCAGCAATCTAGCTCCTAAGAGGTTTTCTACCACAGTTTTGTTGATGTTTCTTACTAGTTGGGTCATATGAGAACTTGATATGATAATCCATGCTGTAAAGGAATTCAGGAGATCTTTTAGGACAACCTCTTACTCAATTCAGAGTCAGTTATGAGGTCTGACCAGGTTGCTTAGGGCTTTGTCTAGGAGTATTTTGAAAATCGCCAGGGATGTAGACTACAACTATTTAGTGTCTGACTTCCAATGCAGTGCGTGGAACCTCTTTTTTCATCAAATCATAGAACAGCTTTGGTTGGAAGAGAAGTCAAAGATCATCTAGTTGCCACCCAATAAAGCAGATTGCCTTGGGTTCCATCCAACCTGATCTTGATCACTTTCAGGGATGAGGTGTCGACAGCTTCTCTGTTCCAGTGCCTCACCACGCTCTTTTCAACTTGTGTCCACTATCTCTTTCTCCTGCTATGCACTACTGTGAGGTTGGAAGGGATCTCTGGAGGTGGCTTGGTCCACTCTTTCTGCTCAAGCAGGGACATCTGGAGCAGGTTGCCCAAAAGCATGTCCAGGTGACTTCTGAAGATCACCCAGGAAAGAGATTCCACATCTCTGGGCAACCAGTCCCAGAGCTCCATCTCCTGCACAGTAAAGAACTGTTACCTGATGTTTAGATGGAACCTCTTGCGTTCCAGTTTCTGCCCGTTGCCTGTTGTCCTGGCACTGGCACTACTGAAAACAGCCTGGCTCTGTCTTCTTTGCATCCTCACTTCAGGTACTGTTAGACATTGACAAGATCCTCCCTGAGCCTCCTCTTCTCCAGACTGAATAATCCCAACTCTCTGTCCTCATAGAAGGGGTGCTCCAATCCCAAGATCACCTCCACAGCCCTACACTGAAGTCTTTCAAGTATGTCCAGATCTCTCTTGTACTGAAAGGTTCAGAACAAGACACAGTACACCAGCTGTGTCCTAACCAGTGCTGGGTAGAGGAGAAGGATCACCTTTCTTGAAATGCTGGCAATATTTTGCCTAATGCAGCCAAGAATTTCATTAGTTTTCTAAGTGGCGAGGAACCATTGCTGACTTTTGTTCAGCTTGGTGTCTACCAGAACTTTTCTGCAGTGCTGCCTTCCAGCTGAGTGGCCCCATTATGCACTTGTGCCTGGGGTTGTTCATTGCCAGCTGCAGGACTTTGCACTTCGTGCTGAACTTGTCAGATACTCGTCAGCCCACCCTTCCAGCATGTCAAGGTCCCTCTGAATGGCTGCACAGCCCCCTGGTGAGTCAGGTCAGCTACTCCCCACATAGTTTTGTGTAATCTGTAAATTTTCTGAAGGTGTACTTTACTCCAATGTCCAGATCCAATACTGCCCCCTGGGCTACTCCACTCCACTCGTTACTGGTCTTCAATCTGACTCTGCAGCACTGACCACAACCCTCTGGGTCTGGCCATACAGCCAGTTTTTGACCCAAATAGCCATCTGCTCATCCAGTCCATACCTCCAAAAACTCAGTTTTATTCTCCGTAAACTCTCTTTCCTGGAGATTTGGTAACTACTGCCCACATTCCCAAAGCATTTACACTCCTCGCAGGGATCAGCGAAACTGTCTGCTTCACCAGCTCCATTCTACAGATTTGTGTTATTTTCTTCCTGGGCTGCAGTGAATATTTCATGCAGTCTGTCAGAGTTTATGACTGCTATTTAGCTGTATGCTTCCCACTGCACTAAGCATTTGCGTGAGCAGCATTCTCTCTACTCAGCTAGCCCTTTGCTCATGGGTTTGTGGTTTTCCAGCCATTCCTCTTCCAGTCATTTTGGTTAGCACTTTGTCTTTCTTTGGCTGTAATTTCAGTCACGTTTTCTGAAGCACTGGTTCTTTGACTGCTCTTGCCTTCAATTCCACCTCTATGGTTGACATGACAGCTTTCATCACCTTTATTTTTGTTATTCTTGGATCATGTTCGTTTTCCCTTCTCACCTACACTTACAACTTACAAAGGAAGGGACTTACCTTACCAATGCAGCCACTGTGTCTTAAAGGTCTCTGTGCGAGACAGTTGTCTGCACTGTTGCAGTAAATGGAGTAGGCTGACTTTT